TCAAAAATGAAATAAAATATGGTTTAGTGGTTTTGAGAAATTTTGGAAACTTCAGCTCACACCAACACTCGGAAGTATTTTGCTCATTAAGTAATCCGTAAAAAAAGCTAGCCTCATGGAATTAATTTTTCTATAATTGCTCAAAAATGAAATAAAATATGGTTTAGTGGTTTTGAGAAATTTTGGAAACTTCAGCTCACACCAACTCTCGGAAGTATTTTGCTCATTAAGTAATCCGTAAAAAAAGCTAGCCTCATGGAATTATTTTTTCTATAATTGCTCAAAAATGAAATAAAATATGGTTTAGTGGTTTTGAGAAATTTTGGAAACTTCAGCTCACACCAACACTCGGAAGTATTTTGCTCATTAAGTAATCCGTAAAAAAAGCTAGCCTCATGGAATTAATTTTTCTATAATTGCTCAAAAATGAAATAACATATGGATTAGTGGTTTTGAGAACTTTTGGAAACTTCAGCTCACAGCAACACTCGGAAGTATTTTGCTCATTAAGTAGTTCGAAAAAAAAAGTTAACCTCATGGAATTAATTTTTCTATAATTGCTCAAAAATGAAATAACATATGGATTAGTGGTTTTGAGAACTTTTGGAAACTTCAGCTCACACCAACACTTGGAAGTATTTTTCTCATAAGTAATCCGTAAAAAAAATCTAGCCTCATGGAATTAATTTTTCTATAATTGCTCAAAAATGAAATAAAATATGGATTAGTAGTTTTGAGAACTTTTGGGAACTTCAGCTCACAGCAACACTCGGAAGTATTTCGCTCATTAAGTAATCCGTAAAAAAAGCTAGCCTCATGGAAATAATTTTTCTATAACTGCTCAAAAATGAAATAAAATATGGATTAGTGGTTTTGAGAACTTTTGGAAACTTCAGCTCACAGCAACACTTGGAAGTATTTCGCTCATTAAGTAATCCGTAAAAAAAGCTAGCCTCATGGAAATAATTTTTCTATAATTGCTGAAAAATGAAATAACATATGGATTAATGGTTTTGAGAACTTTTGGAAACTTCAGCTCACAGCAACACTCGGAAGTATTTTGCTCATTAAGTAATCCGTAAAAAAAGCTAGCCTCATGTAAATATTTTCCTATCATTGCTCAAAAATGAAATAACATTTGGATTAGTGGTTTTGAGAACTTTTGGAAAGTTCAGCTCACACCAACACTTGGAAGTATTTTGCTCATTAAGTAATCCGTAAAAAAAGCTAGCCTCATGGAATTAATTTTTCTATAATTGCTGAAAAATGAAATAACATTTGGATTAGTGGTTTTGAGAACTTTTGGAAAGTTCAGCTCACACCAACACTTGGAAGTATTTTGCTCATTAAGTAATCCGTAAAAAAAGCTAGCCTCATGGAATTAGTTGTTCTATAATTGCTGAAAAATGAAATCACATTTGGATTAGTGGTTTTGAGAACTTTTGGAAACTTCAGCTCACACCAACACTTGGAAGTATTTTGCTCATTAAGTAATCCGTAAAAAAAGCTAGCCTCATGGAATTAATTTTTCTATAATTGCTGAAAAATGAAATAACATTTGGATTAGTGGTTTTGAGAACTTTTGGAAAGTTCAGCTCACACCAACACTTGGAAGAATTTTGCTCATTAAGTAATCCGTAAAAAAAGCTAGCCTCATGGAATTAATTTTTCTATAATTGCTGAAAAATGAAATAACATTTGGATTAGTGGTTTTGAGAACTTTTGGAAACTTCAGCTCACACCTACACTTGGAAGTATTTTGCTCATTAAGTAATCCGTAAAAAAAGCTAGCCTCATGGAATTAATTTTTCTATAATTACTGAAAAATGAAATAACATTTGGATTAGTGGTTTTGAGAATTTTGGAAAGTTCAGCTTACAGCAACACTCGGAAGTATTTTGCTCATTAAGTAATTCGAAAAAAAAGTTAACCTCATGGAATTAATTTTTCTATAATTGCTCAAAAATGAAATAACATATGGTTTAGTGGTTTTGAGAAATTTTGGAAACTTCAGCTCACACCAACACTCGGAAGTAGTTTGCTCATTAAGTAATCCGTAAAAAAAGCTAGCCTCATGGAATTAATTTTTCTATAATTGCTCAAAAATGAAATAAAATATGGTTTAGTGGTTTTGAGAAATTTTGGAAACTTCAGCTCACACCAACTCTCGGAAGTATTTTGCTCATTAAGTAATCCGTAAAAAAAGCTAGCCTCATGGAATTAATTTTTCTATAATTGCTCAAAAATGAAATAAAATATGGTTTAGTGGTTTTGAGAAATTTTGGAAAATTCAGCTCACACCAACTTTCGGAAGTATTTTGCTCATTAAGTAATCCGTAAAAAAAGCTAGCCTCATGGAATTAATTTTTCTATAATTGCTCAAAAATGAAATAAAATATGGTTTAGTGGTTTTGAGAAATTTTGGAAACTTCAGCTCACACCAACTCTCGGAAGTATTTTGCTCATTAAGTAATCCGTAAAAAAAGCTAGCCTCATGGAATTAATTTTTCTATAATTGCTCAAAAATGAAATAAAATATGGTTTAGTGGTTTTGAGAAATTTTGGAAACTTCAGCTCACACCAACTCTCGGAAGTATTTTGCTCATTAAGTAATCCGTAAAAAAAGCTAGCCTCATGGAATTAATTTTTCTATAATTGCTCAAAAATGAAATAAAATATGGTTTAGTGGTTTTGAGAAATTTTGGAAACTTCAGCTCACACCAACTCTCGGAAGTATTTTGCTCATTAAGTAATCCGTAAAAAAAGCTAGCCTCATGGAATTAATTTTTCTATAATTGCTCAAAAATGAAATAAAATATGGTTTAGTGGTTTTGAGAAATTTTGGAAACTTCAGCTCACACCAACTCTCGGAAGTATTTTGCTCATTAAGTAATCCGTAAAAAAAGCTAGCCTCATGGAATTAATTTTTCTATAATTGCTCAAAAATGAATAACATCTGGATGAAGTTTCGAGAAATTTTTGAAAACTTTGTCGTCGTTTTATTTTGTTTTATTAGGTTGCATAAATTTTACGAGTTCCCCTGAAAGCAAATTTTGCAAAGCGTTTCTGCGACGCTGCCGATTTTTTCAAAAGAAGTTATATGGTTTTTTTGGAAAAATTCGATCAAAGCTTTACGAAACAATTTGGCAACCGGAATTGAAGAGTTTGGGTTCCTCATTCTATGGCTCATTTTTGTGTTTTACTGCTGTAATATGGAAACAAAAAAAATCGGAACAAATCAAACCAAGACTGCTGTATTGAGAGGAGGCCCTCTTTGCCTGACTGCTTTAGTTCTTGCTAAACTCAAAAACACTTTTTAGTGAACATTTGTAAACCAAAATTGAGCCATCGAAATACGCCTGTAACAAAGTATTATGAAACAAATGAAATACCATTGTGTGATCTAAAACAGCATTGAGATAAATCTGAAAAAATAATTTTATGCTCTAGCTAAGATATTTAACTGACGTAAGAAAAAGGTAAAATAAGCGAATTACTTAAAAATTAAAACATTAGATAAAATGTGACTGAGATCAATTTGATAGTGTGGCTTAAACTGAAGGCCAGACAAAGACCTATTAACTAATTAATAATTCAAAAGTATAAAATCAGACCACAGCACTGCCCTTGGGAGGAAAAATTCTGATGTCAGTAATTAAATATAAACTACTTTAGTTCTTTTCCCTCCGGCAAAAAGAAAAAAAATTCAACAAAATGTTTAAAATCAGACCAATCGAAGTGGTAGAGAGAAAGAAATACTGCAAAAGATGGACATATTTAAACAAATTCTTGTGGAATGTAACTTTAACTGAAATTAAAAACTACTTATTTAGGGTGGTATGCTTCTAAATGAAGTTGGTAATGACCATTACAGTCAAAGAACGTAAGCCTTGGCTTTCCCGGGTTGACCAAAAATATTAGTCATACAATTTCCATATATAGAAAAATGCTAGTCATACACTTTCCATACAATTCCATACGTACAGAAAATTGCATGAAAGGCCTATGATTAGTATTTTTTCATTTAAGGAAATTGTATGACGAGAATTTTTTCATAAATGGAAAGTGTATGACTAGCATTTTTTCATATATGGAAATTGAAAATTTAGAATTTATTCATATATGAAAATTTTATGACTAGCATTTTATAACAATTAGAAATCCAACAAAATGAGGCAAAAAAACTACTTTAATTCCCATCCCATAGGACGAGCAGTCTCTGAACAGAGAAGAAAAAACCAGAGAAAATTTGTTTTCTCAAAATCAATTCTCCTCACACGCTGAGAATGCAGAGCATTTCTTAATCTTATCCTAGGGACTCCAAAACAGGAGGGATTGCCTCAGAAAAACTAAGAAAAAAACCTTTTAGCTAGCTGAGTAATCCAAAACAAGAAACAGTCCACCAGAGGCATCAATATTCTGGAATTCTTCTCTTCAAATCACATCTGACATCAACATCTAAAACAGTTCCCTATAAAACACATTTAATTGACACTAAAGTTGAAAAATTGAAACAAAAATTTAAACATCAACAAACAAGAAAAGAAAAGAACTTGAATTCAGCTCTTAGAATATCCGTGTTTTACTTATACAAGAACATCCGAGTTTTGAGGTTATCAACATCTGATGACGCTGATTTACTACCACTGTATCGCTCTGTAATTAAAATGTTGATTGACGCCATGTTTTGCTGCCATTTTTTGAAAAAGAACACAATCAAAAGAATTCGACTTCTGCACAAAAAAGTATGTTCTTTGAAAATGATTGACAAAAAAAGTGATTGGCTACTTCTGAACGACCATACTGAGCTGTAACATACCATTGGCATAAACATCTGTTTTTCTGTCGAAACTTAGGCTCTTCTGTGAGCTTTTGTGAGCTCTTCTGCGTGCTTCTGTGAGCTCTTCTTTGACTTCAATACTAGTCATTTGTCTTTTCAGCTTATCGTTTCAGCCAAAATATAATTCTAAACTGTGTTAAATAGTAATTTTGAATTTCAGTCTGGCGCGTACCCTGCGTGACTCATGTGAGCCGATTGCCATGCTGGGCACCCAACTGTCGGTGGTGGCCAGTGTGAAGGCAGTGTGTCCGGACAAACACGAGACAGACGACGCATTAGTCACCAATGCGCGCAACCTCATAGATGCAGTCTCAAATACACTCATACACACAGAAGCATGCTGTATCAAGGTCAGATTCATCACATGGTTCAAACTTTCCATTTCATTGAAAAAAAATGCATCATAGCTCAATAAAATGAATAAATCACATGGTTCAAACTTTGAAATGGTTCAAACTTTTCCATTTCATTGAAAAAAAATTCATCATAGATCAACAAATTGAACAATTGACGATGGCTTCGTAAGACGCGCAGAAGGTTCCGATCACAACTATTTTAAAAAAAGTGCATCATAGCTCAATAAACTGAACAATTGACGATGGCTTCGTAAGACGCGCAGAAGGTTCCGATCACAACTATTTTTGAAAAAATAGCAAAAAATTGTAATTTTTTCTCTTTTCATAAAACTTGTTCATGATTGAACAATCTGATGAATAAATCTTCCCGCAATATAAAGTAAATATCTTGAAGATGATTATTCTCGCGTTTAAAATGACCATTTTTGATAGATCATAGAATCAACATGATTGAGAAAAGAAGTTAAATCGAATACAATATTGAAAAAATTTCCCAACAAAGGCTATTAAACCAAGATAGTCCCTCGCCCTCCGTAGGAAAAGTTATCGAATAAGCGAATTACGGAGGTACACCCCATCCCCCAGAGTGCGATACAGAGGTAACCCCACCAACCCCTCCTAAAGAAGAAGACAAGGAAAACCACTCTACTACTCCCCTAAACTGAAGGCCTTGTCAAAACTTTGTGCCATTTTTTTGTACGAGGTGTGAGAGAAAAACAAAAAACATTGAGGTTTCAATTTTTTCATATTCGTTTGTTAAATTTCGTTTTTTTTTTGCGTTTTCGGTCATCAGAAACGCAAGTTGAAGCTCTAAAAACCAGATTCTTGAAACTAAAATTGGTTTCCCATTGCTGAATTATGAGTTTATTGCTGTACTCGATCACTTGGACAAAAAGCGAAACTTTTGTACCGGTTTTCTCGACATTTTCGGATTATTTCAGAACCAGAATTCAAAACTCCTACCCGCTTCATGATTAGAGCAAAAAAGCCCGTAGCTCACAATCAGGGCTAAAAATTGGCCTCAAAACAAACCGACTTCAGTTGTATGAGGACCTCACTCGATAGGCGGATAACCACTTTTTAGAGGTTTTCCTAAGTGTTGTTTTTTTTCCTGCTATTTTTGATAAGATCATTTATTGCAAACGGAGAGAAACTTGGTCTTCGAGTGTGCTTTAGTTGTTCTCGGACCACTGAAAATGGGGAAGAAATTTGTTTATGGATGATTTCTTTTTTTTTGTTTTCCATTGCAAAATCAGAAACAATGAACAATCATTATATTTGATGGAATAAAATATCATATTACAGCCCTTTCAGTCGTGATTTGAACGGCCATAGTTTTCTCGAGGTCGAGGAAAAACGATTTGAAAAATTTGAGCTTTAGTCTCGTTTCAAACGAGCAGAAAAAGCTTGTACGACTTACACAAGAAAATTTTTCGTGTAAGAAGTAGAGAAACTTTAAAAATTGCCCTGCGAAAAAAATATCAAAAGTTTTCAATTTTTGTTAGTTTTTGTGACGTTTTGTGGGAACTTCTCTTTTCGATTACGCCTCAGTCTAGAGGGGGATCCAGGATTTTGTCGAAGGGGGCGAATTTTCAAAAAAAAAATTTGTTGACTTTTTTTTGGGTCGACCAAATTGACTTTCTGAGCACTTCAAAAGCACTAAAAAGACCCTGTTTTGGCAAAGTTTTGTGCGCCGCAAAAAAAATTGAAAAAAAGCCAAAAAGGCGTTTTTGAGCACTTTTGTTGAACACTTTGAGGAAAAAGTCGCGTTTTTTTGGTGCCCCTTCTCCCCTCAAAATTAGTGTATATTGGCGACGAACAATTTTAGGGTCCATCAGCCAAAAAGTGATTTCTCACAATAGTACGAAGGGGTGACGCTTTGGGTCGGCAGCTGGTCGAAACCCTGAGAAAAAGAAGGGCGTCCGCCCCTTTGCTCCACCCCCCTAAATCCGCCCCTGCCTCAGTCGCTAGCTTTATACGTTTTCAACCACCATTAAACCATAAAAACGCATCAAACTACCAGTAAAAACTATACTATTAAAAAAAACCTTTTTATATGTTTGTGGTCGGAACTTTCTAAGCCTCTTGTACAGCTGTCGGCTTACCCTATTTTTTTGTAATTCTTGTTTAGATAAGCAAATTGCTTACTTCTTCAACCTGAATTCCGATTTCATTATTTTTTGGGTATATTGAAAACTGTTTTTTTGAGTTGATTCAAAAAGTCAGTGATGCTGCTTAAAGACAAATTAAAAAATGATGATGCATTTGAGTCAGATTTTGTTGTTCCGACTGAAAAAATGTGGAGGAGCTTTGTATTTGATTGTGTTTTAATTTTTTTTCGTATTTTTCTTTTTACATTCCACGCAAAATGAGGTACCACGAATAATTATCAAAATGGGTCGAGTGAAATACTTAATTGAAGCTCTTTTAGTCGTAATTTGAATAACAAACTTTTTTTAAAAATTTTCAGTATTGCGAAAAACTGGCTGGAAAGTCTTAACTAAATAAAATTAGTTTTTGGAGTTTTCTAGCTCCATTTTAGAAACCATTCTGCATTTTCTGGAAAAAAAGGAACCATTCTCTGCAGGAACCATTGAAAAATGTTCTGCAAAAAAATTGAATTTATTTTTAATTTCTATTTTTTTAAAAAATTTTTTATCACTCCACGCAGAAAAACCTACACTAGCTTGAAAAAAATTAATCTGTAGTGTCTGAAAACTATGTTAGAAACAGTCTGTTCTATTTGCTCAGAAGCCTGTTAATTTTTTTTTTCTGTTTTTAATGGAAAAATCAATTTTTTCTATCAATAAGTCATTCTTAAATTATCACTGATGATAATATTAAAATTTTCTACTATTATTATTGATCAGACACGGGTGGATTTTACAAACATGCAACCAAGACAGTTGCAGTTTTTCATCGTAAGAAAGTTGATGAAAGCAGGAACAGAAATGATATGAAGCCATTATAAATGGATTGCGTTGTAGCGAATTGAACCAAAAAAAATACAGACTGGATTTTAATGAATTGAATTGCGAAAAAAAAACAGAAAAAACCTGAGCTGGAATCGAATCAAACCAATTAACATTTATGAAAACACGTTTCCTTTTTGAAGGATGAGTTCTTCATTCAAGTAAGTTTGCATGAGCTTCATGTTTGCAACCCTTTGGATATAGATGGTTTCTGCTGAAAAAGTCTTCACGTTTGGGTGATAGTTAACTTCATAATGAAATTAAAGATCGATCAAAGAACTGCATTTACTGTTTAATTTTATCGCTCAATTTATTTAATTGGAAATTTCTGGAATATATTTTTGTCTCTTCGAAATGTATCAATTTTTCACATTTAGCCAATCGTTGCATGGAGTGATTGAAATTTTCTCTAGATCATCAAAAATAGTTAAGCACTTTTAAAAATATATTTATTTTATTTAATTTTTTCATCTTCAGGGTCTGAAACCAAAACCAGAAGATGGGGTCGAAAACTCCGATGGGCATGAAGCCATCAAACTGGCTGCCAGCTGGAAGAGACGACTGGACCAGAAGAGGAAACATGCGGCCAGCCACCTCCCAGTGGACAGTTTTGGACTAAGGAAGACCACGTTGGACAGGGGAGGGGACGCCAGTTTGAGGGATTACCTGAAAACCCCATGAAGAGATTTTTTCAGAAAGTAAACTCAACAAAGTTACGAAATCCACAAATTTGAGATCTCCACAGTCTTCGAAAAACTTGAAATACTATGAAAAATTAGCTTCTTTTTTATATGAGTTGAATACAAAATGGCAGACACTGATTACGACAAAGAATAATCATCTTGGTTTTGTATCAATTAAAAATCTGCGTTTTCTAGATATTTTAAATTGGACAATTTGGAAACAAATTGAAATCGTTTCAGGCTATCGTCTTAATCCGACTCAAAGCTTTTCCTTTTCTGCTATGTTGGATTCCACTGACAAATTACACTAGTGGACGTTTACAACATTAAAGTTGACTTTTGTGTAAAAAGACTCCCGGGTTGATAAAAAATGCTTATCATACAATTTCGTACTATGAAAAAACAATGCTTATCATAATATTTCATAGACCAAAAAAATTAGTATGAAAACACATGATAATCATTTTGCCATGCTATGAAATTCTATAAAAAAGCATTTTTTGCAACTTTTTGAAATTTAATAACAAGCTTTTTGCCATACTTTTTATCACAAAAATTTTGTGTAAGTACCAAAAGCAATTTTTTGTACTATGGAATTTATCCTAACAATTGTTTCCATTCTATGAAATTGTATGATAAGCATTTTTTCCATAAATGAAAATACTAAAACATTTTGTTTCAAAATTTTGTGTTTGATATGAAACACTAGCCAAAAATTTTCTGTCAATTTAAGATATTTTTCGAAAAAAATTTTCATTTGAAAAAAATGCTTGTCTTACAATTTTCTTCACACCTTCTATAAAAATAGCATGAAAAGCAATTTTCTAAAGACTCCAATAACGAAATTGTGTGATAGGCATTTTTGTTATATGGACGTCAACCACGCCTGCCCTGACTTGTTTTTGGTTATCTTTTATCTGTATTCCCGTACCGAACTTTTTGGCCATAATCATATCTGATCATTGTAAAATCATGCAAAATTCATGTCTGTAACAGATGTGCAGCATGTCTATATTCGGCATGCACATACCTGCATCAGACCTGCATCAGGCGTGCTAACTGAAGATATGCTCACACCTGCAGCATGCATGATCATGCCTGAACTGAACATGCTCACACCTGCAGGATACATGATCATACCTGAACTAAACATGCTCACACCTGCAGGATACATGATCATACCTGAACTAAACATGCTCACACCTGCAGGATACATTATCATACCTGAACTAAACATGCTCACATCTGCAGGATACATGATCATGCCTGAACCGAATATGCTCACACCTGCAGGATACATGATCATGCCTGAACTGAATATGCTCACACCTGCAGGATACATGATCATACCTGAACTAAACATGCTCACATCTGCAGGATACATGATCATGCCTGAACCGAATATGCTCACACCTGCATAAACGCCTGAACTGGTAGTTTTTGCTACACTCTTTTTTTTAAAAAACAGAATCAAACATAGAAAAAAAAATGGTTTCAAATCGGTATCTTCAGTATTATAAGATAAGTAAAGAAATGCTTAAATTCCAACAGCATCATAAACTCAGCTTAATAATATGACACTTTACATCAATATTTTGGTTTTTTTTTCAGATATTTTCTGACATATCGGAGCAGTTTCTGTGTATGTTGAACAAGATATCAGTTTTGGTACAGGCGTCTTCTGGAATGGGCGTGCCCCTGGATGATCGGGTTGACATCGCTCGTCTGCTGGATGTCACACAGTCGTCAGATCTTTTTGGCTCTACAGCCGTCAGATATTTTCTACAGTTTTTCAGACATCGATGAATTTTTTATTGAAAATCCGCCCCCTCGAGAAAATTCTAGATCCGCTAGTATAGTATCCCAAATATAATTTGAAAAAATAACTTCAAAAAAACTCCATCTCTTAACTATGCAGATTTTTTGAAGCGCAACTTGATCGATGAAGTTTTTTGTTGAAATCTTATTGTAGTGGGTAGATGCCTCTTTCTGTAATTGCAAGCAGGGAGTCCTTGCTAGCGGGGATTGTGGATAGTTTTATCTGTTTCCTGTCAATATGAAACGTAAAAGCTTTCGAATGATCTGAAAAAATTTTGTCAAAATTGGCTAGTTAAAATGTCGAAATTTGTCTGAAGAAAAAAAACCCCACACCGAGCACAAATATTCCGTTACTTTTGCTACGAAAAAAGGAACAGTATTCAAAATTAATTGTATTGTTCGCACATTTTTTGTAATTTATTCAATGAGATTAATAGTATCAACCAATCAAATCTTTTTAATTTATTCGCAATTATTGCGGCTACTGGTTCGCGAAAATTGAAGGATTTTTGGCCAAAAAATTTTGTGACGAATTGCTTTAATTATAGTTCAAACCGGGGATGTTTAGTTTTTTCGACTATCCCTCCCGTTGACCCCCTGAAACTAACCTGACGTCCTCTTTTTTGGGATGTAGATACGACATAATTTCCTTCATTTGAAGATGGTTGGCTCGAAGAGGTAAATTTGGATAAACTCATTTCGAACAAAATCTGAAAAAGTGAAATTTTAACAACAAAGACCAATTAGTCAAGATGCGCGAAGTAATGTATAAATAAATATGAATTTGTCAAGTTTTCAGTCAGGCGTTATCATGTCTGCGGCAGGCATGAACATGTTTCACTCAGGTCTGATCATGTAAGATCCAGGTACGACCATGTCTGTAGAAAAATACGCATGCTCACTTGTGAACAGCCCTGCATAATGGGGGAACAGTCCTGAGAATATTCTCTCCCCTGCTAAATGGATGATCAGCCGTGAAATGGCACAAAAAGTTCAGTACGGGTTCCGCTTTATTTTATTTTTCTTCGTGAACTATGGTTTTATTATGCTAAATCAGGCATTGCAAATAAACAATAGATGATCTCAAGTGATTATTATTTAGCAATCCACAATCATGACTCGGTCGATAATCAAAAATTTTCTCAGTATGGACTTTTTGTTTAACATTTTTTCAAATCCAATTTAGAGTAAGCACAGCGAGCGTCTGCAACAATAAATTGTTAGTTAGCCAGCAAAAGTGACAACAAATGCGCTTCTGAAGCTTTATTTAGCTCTTCACCTAAACTAAAAATAATTCAAAAAGCTACAAAAAAAATCGAAATGAAAAATTAAAGAAAATAATTTTCTTGAAAAAATGTGTTCAAAATTTTTTTGTTTTTTTTTTATAGGAAGAAACTTGTACTTAGCCGAAGCCATCAAACATGCTAGAGGATCTCTTAGTACCTCTTCTTACAACAATATCATAATATCATATTTTTTTTGGCTACCTTTTCGGCAACTTCTGTGCTATTTGCTTCTATACTTCTAGCCTCAAGTCTAAGCAGAAAAATTGTCAGAAAAGTTGTCTAAACTGAAAATTGCTATTTTTAGAAACTCATTAGAATTTCCAAAACAATGGAAGATGAGAGATAAGAGGTTTGAAATAGCTTTTTTGCATTGTTAATCTCTGATACAAAAAGTCTGGTTTTATTTGTTTTTTCTGTTTATTAGTATGAAAAGTATCTCGAAAAAAAAAACGTAGAATTCTTTTTTGACGAGCTTACCAAAAATAAATTTTTGTAGCCAAGTTTCGAGGGTGTGGAAATATTTAATATGGTCTTAAATGGTTAATTTGGTTTAAAAAGGGCGCGAAATACTTCATACTATCAACGCATAATCCGGCCCAAAAATTGCTCCAAATTGAACAGGTATGCTGGAAGGTGGCGCCCGTTGTAATCTAGAGTCCAAATGATGAAAAACAAATGTCTGCCAGTCAGAATTGATAAACTAAAAATCTCAAAAAACTCAAATTTAATTAACTTAATCAAATAAGACCAGGTCATTAAAACTATCATTGACCAAATGCGAAGCAATTTACTGATTGACTATTGAATTTTCACGCAATTTTTGACGGAATTTTTTTTATATCATTCAAAAGGTATTGTTGTCTTGAGCTTAAATTTGAAACTATATTTCACCTGTGATCATTTTTAGTAAAGTTATGAGGGTTTAAAGATTACCATTTTGGCTAATTTGGGACAATTAACGCGCGATATATTTCGCGCTATTAACGCGTAAGCTGAGATTTAATCCGTCTTGGAAATCGTTCCAAATTGGTTGAAAGAAGCTTATTTGCCTTAATTGATTTGTTACAAGGAGCTAAATCTATTTTTTTGTAGTTTATATGGCGCGTGGGGGGATGATTTTTATGTATAATTTTTTTTTTACATTTAATTTGTTAATGATATTTATTTTATTACTACTTCATAAACTTTAAAAGGCAGTCGGAACATTCAGGGTTTCGCCCTGATACGAGCAGTCTTGTCTGATATTTTTTACTTTCTGATTTTGAGCGGAACTTTTGTGTGAACAGGAACGTCTAACTATTCTTATTACTAGAAAATTATTCATTCCCACAGTCCAAAAATAGTTCGTTCCCATGCCGGCTGTTCGAATTCGTAAATAACTGTATGCTAAATAAATCACTTTGAATTTTAAATAGCGTGTGGCAGTTGAGTTTCAAAAAAGAGGAACGTTTTTCTAAAATGATATTTTTTTCTTAAAATGAAAGTTTCATCATTTTATTGAAATCGAATACAACTTCAAATAGTTTCAAAGGCGGTCGAAGCATTCAAAACGTCGCCCTGATTCGAGCAGTATTGTACTTAGTTTGGTACAGGCTTATGAGTCGAAGGTAAGCAAAGATTGGCAAGTAAATACAATCTTTATTGCTTGTTGAATAAACCTATAAGTTCGAATCATATTTTTGATTTTCTGAATTGACCCGAATGATTTTGTATAAATTATATTTGAACTCAAAAGACGGATCCCTGGCCTTGAAAATTTAATTTTTTACTATAGAGAGTTGAAAAAAGTTGGAACAGACAGGATTAATTAAAAAGCGCAAATAATCTAATTCAGAAAACTTTTGCTTGAAAAACTAACTTTTTAGACAGAAAATATGACTCAAGGTCACCAAAACTTCAAATTTGTTTGCAAAAAATGCTCAAAAGATTGCTCTTTTTAATTATTTCTGTCTGTTCCACTTTTTTGCTACTATTTACATGTTCACATCAATATGTGTATGTCTTAATCGCGTTGCACAATATTAGCTCAAAATACGTTAAGAGTATCCTA